CCCTCTCTCTGACTAACTTTTATGGTGTGTGATAAAAATAGTTTTGTATTATAAGGAGAAACAAAACAGCAAACATACATTAGCATCCATGGCTATCTGTGATTACCTAAATACCATCTAAAAGCAAGTCCATTATAGCAGAGGGTTCAAAGAGTTTATAGAGGAAACCAGATAGATACACCCCATGTCCTTCAGCATTGAGGAAAGAGTGTTCAAGCAACCTTTTGTTTTCTTTCATGATTTGCAAGAGAGAAGGGAAGACAGACACCTTCTAGTTCTATTTTCATATTCAAGAAATTTCATCATTCCATTTTCTCTGATTAAATGCAGGGAAAATCACCATCTGGGATGCACAAGCAATTTGCAAGTGTTGCAACAATGTTGAATGATGATTTTCACATTCACCTCGTAAAATAAGGAAACACGTTCACAACTATCTTCGCCTTCAATTACTAATGTTTTATCAGAAGCATACCCTCTGATATATAAAGAAATGAAAAATTACCTCTAAGGCTGACATGGCTGCAAAAAGATTAAAATTTTCACCATTTATCAGCTCATCATCTCGAAGATCTGCGAGGAAATATAAAAATAAGTTACTACCTTTTCTTCCAGATTGGATAGCAAGAAAAAGATGATAGGCAAAAAAAACACTAATGCAAACAATCCCTACACTGCCAACACCGATTTAGACTGTCTTTGAAAAAGGAAATAAGACAAAAAATTTATTTTATGTCATAATTATTTATAATGTAAAAAATCAGAGTTATAAGACAAAAAAATTTAATAATAAATATTAAAATTTTTAAAAAAATTAGCGACAAAAAAATAAGTTACTACCCTTTCTTTCAGATTGGATAGCAAGATCAAGATGATCGGAAAAAAGCACTTAAAGACAAATATTTACTTTTAAGTGAAAAATATTTATGAAGTAAAAATACTACTTATAGGACAAAATTTACTAATAAATACAAAAAGTCATCAGTATAAAATTCACTTATGTGTGAAAAATTACTTATAAGTACAAATTTAACAGATAACTTTAAACTTAAAAATAAAAAATACTTATAAATTAAAATTTTAATTATAAGAAAATATGTCATTTTTAAGTTAAAAATTGTCTTATATATAAAAAATTACTTATAAGTAAAAAATCACTTATGAGTAAAAAAATTCAAACTAAAATTATAAATTGAAAATTTCACCAAGTGATGTACATATTTACTCCAGATTATTTACACATACCTACTTTTTTATATATGAGAATACATATAATTTTATTCTTTTAAAAAAAAAATTTAGAACTGAATTGCTGGATAATAAACTCTGAAACATGGGATGGACTGTTTACAAATCTCAATAAAAATAGTCCAAAACTGAACTGCTCGTAATCGTGAAAAAGCTATACTTTAAAGGAGCCCCATAAATGGTACTCAAAACTCCAAAGCAGGCCCTAAGAATTATTGGTGAGCTCATAGCCATGATAAATTAGGAGAAGTACTTGTTATAATACCAAAATTAATAAATAAATTCAATCAACAAATTATTGAAGATGTTGAAAGAAAAAATGAATATTGGGTGGTGATCGAAGTAATACTAGAGATTTAGTACTTTAGACTTAAATTTTAGCAAACAACAAATTTTTAGATAGAAAATTGAGTTCTTTCATTTGCTAATTTCATTTAAACAATATGGCCATGCTGTTACAACATCAAGACTCCCAACCCTAGTACCAGAAAAAAGTCCAAAACCTTCTGACTACAAGAGCTCAACGCATGTTGGCTTAGCTTATAAGCTAATCAAACTTTTTAAAGTCAGATTATTTGGGGAAAAAAAACACATTTGCATCACTTCTAAAATTGGTCTATGATAGGTTTTTTTACCTTGAATAGCTTCTTAACTCAATTTTCCTTTTCATTTCACTAATTAATGAATGAATTTTATGATACACCTTTCTTCAAAACCGTGTTCACTTTTGTTCAAACACCATCAAGGCAGTGCGAGGGCAATAAATTTACAGCATTAGGGATTCATTTTTCCTCGAGTAAAGTGTAGGATGCAGGAGTATGGGGAGCAGGAACACTATTATTGAAATTTGGGGGACATGTGGGTGATTGCACAGCTTTTTCGAAGTGAATAATCTCTTATGCTATTTATTATACATAACCATTGAAGAGTTTGCATCCAGGCTTTGAAGTACATAATCTAAAGTGGTCTTACTAAAATGCAAATTGAAATCAACAATACTCCCATGGACCTAGATGGCTGGTATGATCATATATTCTATTTATTAGTTCAATTGTACCTATTTACACCAAATTCTTGTGTTGAAACTCTTCATGGTCTCGATATAAACTCTCTACAATTGCCCATGGTTACACATAATAAGCATAAGTTATTCTTCAATTTGAAGAAGTTGTGGGAATTTTTGCATATTGCATTCACCCACAAGTTCCCAAATTTCAACAGTGCGTCCCTGCGCCCCCCGCTCCAGTCTAGGAAAAAGTAATCCCTGATGCTATGGATTTCATAATCCTCACAGCCTCAATGTTTGAACAAAGGTTAAGAAGATTATTGAAAAAAGATGTATAATAAAATTCATTGATTCTTCCTAGCTGCCTAGCACTATAAGTATCTATTTAGTAACGGAAAGCTTAAGCATCACCCAATCATCCCTTCCTCAAAAAATTTCTATGAGAATTAGAATAAAATTTACTGCTATAGAATTACTTGAACTTGAAATAGACTGACTAGCAACTACAACGAGATTTTTCAAACATTTTACACACAAATTAGTGCTTGGGGTGGATTCCCGAGCTTGATCCTGGGTGATGAAAGATTTGAGCTTTTGGGAAAACATTGCTGACAGTACATTAATTATACTTCTCTAGCTCTAAAAAATGAATAAACGAGCAATTAGAGAGAGCAGAAGATATCAAGATACCGTTGCAGGCAAGTCCAAGAAGAGATGAAGCATCAGCCCAAACAGTGCCTTCGCCCGAAGGAATCGAAGGACTAATTGGTACTTCAATAGCTCTCCTTCTCTCAGCTTCAATTTTCTCTGCCATCGATAACTTCACCTCTCCTCTCCTATCCTCTCTTCCCTCTCTCTTAGCTGTGTACGCAAGAGTGCGAATTAGAAACTTCGCATTTGACGAGAAACCGTATTTCGCTGATTTCAAGAACGAATTTGGTAGGTATGAACAATTTGTGAAGAACGTTCAAAGTCTTGCTTCAGTCTGCCGCAACGCGAAAAGTGTCGTCTCTTGTTGGTTCGGACTTTGATAGGGCAACGCTGTTTTTTCAGCCTTTTTCCTAGTGAATACTGAATATTATGAATTCAGTCCGCAACTTACGTTTAATCATCAGAATATTTTAATCATCAGTATTTCACTTTTGTTGCACAAATACCCTTGTATTAATTTAAAATAAATAAATGGAAAGGAGAAAGCAAAAAAAAAAAAAAATTGACCGTTAAAAAAGGAAAATTCCCAAAATTCTCTTGTTCTAGCTCATCTCAAGTAAAAAGTTTCATTAGTCACTAAATATTGAATGTTGTCACATTGTTGTCGTTGAACTTCCTTATGCTGCTGAGTGGTCATTCGAAAGTTATTTCCTCACTCTCCAAGATTCTGTTTCAATGGTTGCTGTTATGGCTTGATGTCAGCTTAGTTGGCAACTAGCGGCATTTTTACTCCTGCAATGTTGGTGTCGTAATTCTTGAAAACAAATGATTAGGCTCTCCATTCTCCCTATTTCATCCATGGTTGCATCTAAGGCTACTAGCTTATGTCGTAGCTTTCTTTGGGATTCAAAAAGGCTGTTGGTTGCGTGGAGTAGTATTTGCTTACCTAAACAAGAAGATGGGTTGGGATTTACAGAAATTAAATGCTGGAATTCGGTGATTCTCGCCAAAACTCTTTGGAACATTCATTGCAAGAAGGATACACTTTGGGTGAAGTGGGTAAATATGATCTTCCTTGGTGGTAGGAACATTTGGGATTACAAGACAAGGAAGGATGATTCTCCACTACTCAAAAAGTTGCTGAAAATACGTGACTGATTTGCACAGGCCCAACTCTCAGATCAGTGCAGTTCTCGCACAACACACCCTCAACCTGTCTCTACGGTTGCAATGGACAGTTTCACCGCATGCACAACTATCGACAGATTCTGTATAGCTGTAGGTTATGATTTTCTCAGACCAAAGGAGCCAACAACTACCTGGAACAACTTTAATTTGGAACTCCTATGTCACACCGAAACATGCATTTATCCTTTGGTTAGGAGCTAAATCTAAGCTACTAACAAAGGATAAATTGAATTACTTGAATATTGATCGAGGGTGTGTTTTCTGTGCATCTACCAATGAGACTGTGCACCATCTGTTTTTCTCCTGCCCAATCAGTTCTGCAATTTGGGGACGTATCTGGCATTGGTTGGGTTTTAGGCGTCTCATGTCTACCCTACCAAGTGCATTAAGAAAGAAGCTCGATGAACAACATGGCAAAGCAAAGTTAAGCGGATCGCTCTTGCTAACACTATTTATCACTTATGGATGGTGCGCAATATGAGGGATTTTTGAGGATTTAAATCCTAATGTTGAAGGCATCGTTCGAAAGATCAAAACATACGTATACAAAGTCATGTTCTCTTTGTATCCGTATGTTTTGATTCAATTTGAGACTTTGGCATTAAACAGTTGATCTTTTGTATTATTCATCATTTTATGTTAGTTGTTAAGCAGTCTTCCCGGGTATGCCTGGTGTACTTGTTGTTTGATTTCATTTTTTGCTTACTCGGGGATGTTCAGTGTACTTGTAATTGCTCAGACATTTGTTTACTTGGGTGTGCCCAGTATACTTGTACATGTTTTTGATTTATAGTAATTCACATTTATTGATAAAAAAATGATTTTACCTACGTCTAAATCTCAAAACAATTTCATACAAGAAGAGGAATCGAAATCCCCAACCTCCAAATTCCAAAAGAGGAACCCTAGCGATTTGCGAAAATTGCTTCCCTTCCAATTTCAAAAATCCTGACATCGGATGATTTCGTACCCCTAATCTCTCATCCCTGCATCATTTGTCATCTTCCCATAAGCTAACCCTCAAATTCACAAAGGAGCAAATCGGCCAGCTGGACCACTTCCACGCACGTATCTGGTAATTTCATATTTTGGTCTTCTCTCCTTATTAACTATATTCTGGTACTTCTCCAAAGGCTATTAGGTGACTTGGTACGAGGATTTAGTTTGCATGTATGAACTAAGAATGTCTTTGACACATCCATGTTAGTGGAATTGGTGGGGTTTTTTTCACCTAGAAAAATCCCTCATTTTGGTAGTTGATATGGTCTTTTTTTTCTTTTTTCTTTTTTGTGTCAATTATTGGTCAATACTATCAAATTCTTCACAATTTTGTAACTAATATAATATTTTAATTTACATCATCTCTGGTTTCATATCCTATCAAGGTGAGAGATATAATGTTTTTTGTGTTGCTTGACCTAAAATATCTTGTTTTACAGCTTGAGGTTTTCTTATAAGTGAATTTTTTTCAGTAAATGCTTGTGTGCTTTGTCCTATGTTTGTATAGTTTGGATTATTAGTGCTTTCAACTTGTTTCGACATTTGGTATTAGGAACTTGGAGCACTTGGAAAACTTCGACGTTTTATCCATGTGAAATTTTGTTTTTATGAGTAAGAGTGTCTTTGAGTTACATGTCTGGAAACCTGAAGATAAGTCTAGTGGGAAAGGCAAGACTAATGATCTTGCTGAAAATTTGTCGTCTATGTTGATGAGAGCTACTCAAACATCGAAAAAAAAAAGAATCCATGGAGATATTCGTCAACATATCTATTCACAAGTTGTGGACGATAATTGGTAAGGAAAGGAAAAATGCCGTGAATTTGTTCCAAACATGTGATAGAGTGAGAGTTCTCTTGTATTTGTTGAACTCCGTGTTATGTAATCAACACTAAAATTGTTGTAAATTACATCGTATTTTCATTGCCATTGGGAGCTACTAATGATCTTGCTGAAAATTTGTCGTCTATGTTGATGAGAGCCACTCAAACGTCGAAAAAAAAAAGAATCCATGGAGATATTCGTCAACATATCTATTCACAAGTTGTGGACGATAATTGGTAAGGAAAGGAAAAATGCCGTGAATTTGTTCCAAACATGTGATAGAGTGAGAGTTCTCTTGTATTTGTTGAACTCCATGTTATGTAATCAACACTAAAATTGTTGTAAATTACGTAGTATTTTCATTGCCACTGGAATTAGTAGTTAACTTTGCTGGTAATGGAACTTTCGTATATGGAAACATTGTGTAAACATGCTTAATGGTTCAAGAAATTAATGCATTTCAGTTGTTGAATTTGCAGCATCTCATTTTTAACCAATGTGAGGCACTTCGAGCATTAATTGGTTTGGGTTATTCGCCATATGATTGACCATGAATCACTAGTGACTTCAACTTCCTGTGTGCATTAATGAATCCACACGGCATTGTAATGCATTACAATTCTCTCATCTTTGTCCAATTGAATACAGATCATGCTACAATCTAACAATGTTCTATCCAATTGTCTGGATAAAACCAATGACTCTGAGAATATTCATTTACATGGAGTTATATCTTGAGCTCAACCTCTATATTTGTGCTGTAGACAACGTTAAATGCCAAAAATAAACAAAGTACCTTGAGCTTAGCCTCCATACATGATTCAAATATTATCACAGTTCCTTGCATAAATGAGAATAATAAAGTTATATGGCACTTCATGCATTGATTGGTTCCTAATGCCAAGTTTGCATGCTTGTATAATCTGGGGAGTAACAATTCTTCTACAGAACACCATCCATATACACCAGATACAACACCAAAACATATATAATCTGTTAAAAGTATGCCCAAATAGGAAAAATTACTTTTACTAAAGGTATGTTTCAATCCAAACATGTTTCTGCATAAACATTTACATTCGACGGAGATAGCATATCAGTTTCAATGATAGAAAAAACAACATGCAATTTACATCCATTATGCATATTCATGTTCTAATGTTCAGTCCGCCAAAAGTACTAATATTAGCAATTAGGAACCATTAATTTTTTGAATTTGATGTTCTGCCTGTAGATTTATGTAGGTGATTATCTAAGCAGATTTCTTCTACTTTCTCTAGCTACAATGGGGGTAGACATGAACCACAAGGACTGTTCTTCAACTGGGTTTTGGTTTGAAGATGATCCCATGCATCTAAATGTGACCATTTTCCCCTGTATTATATTGTCACGAATTGGACCACAATTTGCAACCACCAACTCACACGGCTCGATCAAGTAAATAATCAAACTGAAACTAGTTGAAATTGTAACCAAAGTAAAGCAAAAGAGAATGGGGGGAGTAAACGAAAAAATAAGAAAAATAGAGAGAGAGAGAGAGAGAGAGAGAGAGGATGCTGTTGAATATCTCAACAAATTCACTAGACATTTCGGATTGCAAAAAACTCCCTGACGTTAGCATTTCAGCCTACATTGACTTTCTTCCTTTATTGTAAAGAAAACGTGTTTTTTCTCATCCAAAATCAATGAAACGTTTTAACTAATATTAACAATTTATTTAATTCCAAAAAGGCGTCGTCTTTGTTACTGTAAAATGGCGTTGCTTCTTCTTTCAAATATCAAATAATTCTATTGGTTGTCTTCTTCATTCTTCATCTGCTCTTCTTTTTCTTCATTGATTTCCCACGTGACAATCCTCCCCTTCACATTGATCTTATTCCCAAGATCGAAAGAGAGAAAATTGGGATTTGATTTAATCCAATTAGCGTCATCCCAAGTTGCACGACCTGTAGAAAGATCAGACCATTGAACTAGCCATTGCACCACTGAATGTGTTCTTTATGGGGTTAACCTGGATTGCAAAATGGAAATGGGCTTGTATACTGGTTCAGTCCATTGAATTTTTGTAGGTAGTTGTAATATCGGCATAGCATTATCTCCCAACTTCTCCAGGGATACATGACGATCTTAGTGGATTTTGGAGCCAACCGTTAAATCCAATTGATAAGCCACTATCCCTAATTTCTTAGTAATCAGGTATGGACCGAAGTGCCTAACACCCAGCTTGTGATTAAGCTTGTGTTCAATGCTACTTGTAGGGGTGAAGTTTTAGGAATACCTAATCACTTTCAACAAATGATCTTTCTAGCCTTTTTTTCTTTGAATAATTCTACTTGTACACCTAAATGTGTATCGAATTTTTTACCCCCTCTCATATGTACACGGGACCTTTATGGATAAAAAAAAATCCCAA